GAGTTTTAGTAATTCACTATTTCTGTTGTTTGGGCCGCATCGCGCCGCCTGTAGGCGTCACAGTCGTTATGACGCGCGGAAGCGTCGCGTCGCGTCGGACTCCAGTTTCGTTTTCTTCGCCTGCCGCACTGACGCGGCCCACAATCCAGCGCGCGAGCGGAGTCAACATGGCGCGTGCGATTGGCGTTTTGAGCAGGGCCGAAGAAAACAACAACAACATCATCAGCGCCGGGATACATGGCGTTTAACGCGACGCCGATCCGTCACCGCTCCGTATGATCGTTCTCAGTATGTGCTGCTGATCTACCGCACATTAGTGAATCCAGGTAAGACAGAAAACTAAAGACACAAGAGAGGAAAAGGTCCGCGACGCGTCAGTAGCGCAGACGAGCTATATCTAAATACATTGGCAAAAGTTTGGGGGAATTACTACAAAATGTGACTTTTTGTGAATAATACACAATTCTAACTGTTTAATATTTACATGCAAATGCGTTCTGCATGCAAATATGCAGATAATGGTGATTTGCTAGTGTTTGATCATTGCAAGGTTACATGCAATGCTTTTACAGTGGTAATAGGAAATCAGAAACAGGCAATAACTTTTAGGATATAAAATCATTGCTGGTACATGCAAACTGTGTCTTAATTCATGTTTGGACTCTAATGTGTGACTGTATATCCTGTATGCCTGTAGTTTTGTGTTTGTTCAGGCCTACAGGTCATTAAACTTGATATTGGGACCAGAATATTTGTGCATTAGTTTTGCTTTTAGATGTGCATTTTACTCTGTATTCTTTTTAAATACAATATGTAATTCCTTAATTACATCATTTTATAGTTGATTTTAGGGATGCATGATACTGGATTTTTGCCTATATCCGATATGCAGATAATTTTTAAAGGGGTCATATGATGCTGCTAAAAAGAACATTATTTTGTGTATTTGGTGTAATGAAATGTGTTTATGCGGTTTAAAGTTAAAAAAACATTATTTTCCACATACTGTACATTATTGTTTCTCCTCTATGCGCCGCCTTTCTGAAACGCGTCGATTTTTACAAAGCTCATCGTTCTGAAAAAGCGAGGTGTGCTGTGAAGTTGATGTATTCCCTCAGCGACCAGCACAGATCAGCTCTAGGCATGACGAAGCGGATATCGTCCTCTTTTGGAAGACCAAACAAAGTTTCGCTTTCACAACGAAGCACACAGCGTCTTCAGGATATGGCGGCGGCAACAACAATACTACAGTGAGAATAAAAGTTACGCCTTCTTTCTTTGCGTGAACATTTGGGCGGTGTTATGCAAATCTTCCCACATAGTGACGTAGACATGTGGGGACGTGTTAGAACGAGCCGTTTTAGGTAGGCGTGGCTGACTCTTAACTTTTATAAAGAATATCTCTTTGGATTTGAGACTTTAGTCTTTGCAACTTTACAGATCTTCTTTATGCACCAAGAGCTTGTAACACTCCAAAGAGAAAGGAAAAATTGAAATCGCATCATATGACCCCTTTAACTCGTTTTGGACCCATAGCTTATGCCGATACCGATACCGATATATAATTATTTTTAATTTTGGTTAGTTTTTAACAAGAACTTATTTGTAAGAATTAAATAAACAATAATAAAGTTCTTTTATAATGACAGTACATTTGAAGATTTCAAAATAACTATAAATAAACTATATATTAATCACTGCATTTTTTTTCCAGAAAGATGCAGTAACCTTAATATTTTGTTTTAAGATTTAACATTTGTAAATGGTCTAAAGCAAAAGAGTTGTACAAATTCTGAAAATCTTTTAGAGCTCATAACTTGTTTAAAAAATATAACCTATTACACGTTAATGAATAAATCAGTAGGCCTATATATAAAATTGTGTCACATGTTTGTGATTTTTTTTTTCATGTAAGCTATAGCTTCTGACCTTTAACTCAAAACATACTCATGATTGTACACAAACAGAAACAGTCTAAATATTATTTGTGTATTTTGCTTTCATTTTATTAGAAGTAGGCCAACAGCGCCCCCTACAGAATTAAAACTCTTTTACTGACCGGGCATTAGGACCAGGGGGAGGCTGCTGCTGCTGCACGTGCTATTACCTGCATTTTCAGTTTAAAAGCAGTAATCCAAAACAGTGAATCCAATCACCATTCAGGCAAAACTTTGCTTCAAGAATGAGCCACAATGCTGACATGATCTAATCGCTAGCACACCCTGAGCACATGTGAGTTCACGTATTCCTTTTATCAGCAAGACATATCGGCATAATTTTTCATATCGGGCCAATGCCGATATTTATATTTAAAGCCATTTACGGCAGATTCCGATATTGGTCCGATAATATCGTGCATCCCTAGTTGATTTATATTACACATTTTGCTTCTGAAGTTACAATGTGTAGTTATTGGATGGACGGTTGTTGTATTTACTGATATACACGCTTGGATTCTTAAGAATTAAACAGGAATCACTCATTATAATGGTGATATCATGCCTTCTTGGCAATTATTCTGTAATAATCTTAATATCGTATGCATTATGTGATCTGACCCACTACATTTGCTAAAATATGCAGGATGTGTTTTAAAAAAAAAAATAGCAGGCAGTGTATACTGTCAGTAGCACATGGCGCAAGCAACGCCAAGAGTATGGGTTCGAATCCTAGGGAATGCATGGACTGATAAAATGCTTGAATGTGAAATTATTTGTCAAATTCATCAATGTAAAACTGTGCAGTATTAGGTAAATAGCAGATTGTTATGTTGAGACATGTTGAAACTAACTTGTATGGAAGCATGTTTCTGACATAGAATAAAAAATAATAAAAAAAAAAAGGTAATTGCAACTTTCTGTCTCACATTTCTCATTTTTTGCTTGCAATTCAGAGTTTATGTCTCAAAATTTGGACTTTGTTTCTAGCAATTATGAAAAAAAGTCAGAATTGCAAGATATAAACTAGCAATTGCAAGAAAAAACTCAGAATTATGAGATTTTATATGCATGTATGTTGTGTATAATGTTTTTATTTAGCTACAAGTACTTCTGTATATATAATAATGTTGCGATTTTAAAAATGTAATATAATGTTATTTTATCGATGTGGTTTTTTAGTATGCATATTAAAACAGTACATAAATTGAATGCAATAATAATATTTAGCTAGTTAATACTTCTGTTAGGGCTGTGCAAAAAATTTTCATGCGCATCTCGTCAGTAAAGCCGCGCTTGTGATTAGTAGTAAGTCTCAGCAGATGCTTTCAGATGGAGCGGCATTTACTACACAGAGCCGTAGTTTCTCGTTTTATGCGTATTTGGCGCCACCTATTGTTGTGGGTGTATTATTGACATGTCAAAGTCTAGACCCTGAATATAAGACGACCGTGTTTTTTCAGATGTATTTCCAAGAAAAAAACATCGTCTTATATTCGGGTCAATACGGTAATTAGGAATGCTGTCCCTTTAAGACGGAAGGTATGCATGTAATACTGACACACGTTCAGTTTTCACCCACCTGTTTACATTCACTTAATCTATAACTGACTGTATTTACGTGAGATACTCTACACGATAGACATTTGGACTTCTGTGTGTGTATTTGAGCGCTGAGAACTGATCGCGCGCTGTATATAAGAACTGAAGAATTGGAGCGTGCGTGAGAGAGAGCACTTCTATCAGCGCGATTCCACCTATCCCGCCTTCACTAACTTTAAGTTAATCTACAATGAATTGTGACTCCCGGGAAAAGCGGGACGTATCCGGGACCTTATCCCTAACCCTTCGGGTGCTAAGGCCATTGTTTCAGATCGCTAGTTCGTGTTTTGGTAGCCTATCCATCCACTGCGGCTGCCATACTGAGAATAGATATGCAAATGCCCTTTATCCGATTGCAATCTAATGACAGGGACGCACGTTTTGAAGGACAAGACAGTAGCCTATAGGATGTATTTTGAATGTCCGGTAGTCCTCAAATGACATTATAGTCCCGTCTCGTCTTGTTAACGAAGACACAGCATAGTTTTTATCATCAGATATTAGTTTTAGCTCCTCAACATCTCGTCTTAGTCACAGAAAAAATGTTCGTTAACGAATATTTTTCGTCGTCGTTTTCGTTGATGAAATTAACATTGCAGTAGTACTTAAATTACATGCGTTATTTTTGATTATTACATCTTCCTAAAAACGCTCAACATTTAGTAGACCAAAAATTGTACTTGAATGAATTTATTTACAAAATTTTAACTTGCATTTTAATTAAACTCTTTTTCTGATGTTTCAAATGTTTGGGGTCTGTAATTTTTTTTTTTTTTTGAAAGAAATTAATACTTTTATTGAGTAAGGATGCATTAAATTTATCAGAAGTGGCAGTAAAGACATTAATAATGTTACGAAAGATTCCGATTTCAAATAAATGCTGTTCTTTTGAACTTTTGAACTTTCTGTTCATCAAAGAATCCTGAAACAAAATGTATAACAAAAATATGAAGCAGCACAACTGTTTTCAACGCTGATAATAATCAAATGCTTATTGAGCAGCAAATCGGTATATTAGAATGATTTCTGAAGGATCATGTGATACTGAAGACTGGAGTAATGATGCTGAAAATTCAGCTTTGATCACAGGAATAAATTACATTTTAAAATCTATTTTAATTTGTAAAATATGACCGTAATTACTCTATTTTTGATCAAATAAATGCAGCCTTGGTGAGCAGAAGAGACTTTTTTTCTCATAGACATAAAAAAAAAAATCTTACTCGCCCAAACTTTTGAACAATAGTGTATACATTGAAGAAAATGGTGAAGGAAAAATTCTACTTATTATTAATTATACAGTTACTAAGAGCTCATAAAACTGTTACTTAATAATAAAGTGTAAATTTAGTGTACCATGTCACTGCTCTCTTTGATAAATGTTCTCCTTATGTGAATGCATAGGAAATTACTGTATGCTATAGTATTGATTACATGCACAGTAGGAGAAAAAGGATGTAAATGTGTGTTTTGCAGCGCTGTGACATTGGCGACGCCTCCAGAGGAAGTCTCTCCTCCTATGCTTACATCCTCATGGTGCTGTATTTCCTACAACAGAGACAACCACCAGTCATCCCTGTGTTACAAGAGGTACAGCGCCCTTGCACAGAAGTACTGATGCTTCACTGATAATATCGGTACCATGGTACTGAATGATTGTGTTCTTCAGATATTCGTTGGGAACACTGTTCCTCAGAGGATGGTGGATGGCTGGAACGCTTTCTTCTTCGATGATCTTAATGAGCTGGTAAGCAGGCAATAATGCAGTTTTGTTTGTCACAGTACGTTGAAGAGGTTTCATTCTACTTATATTGTGCCATTTTCATTAATTTAATTGTTTATTAGATATGAAGCATTTCATATTTACTTTTCATTAGAAAATCCACAAAAAATAATAATTGATGGTGTATATTTGGTATTATTAGTAATTATAAAAGTAATCAAATTATTATAGTAATTGTCACTAAATGCACAAATAAAAATGATAAATTATAATATATATTTTTGTTATTTATAATTATAACAAAAAATAATCTGTTATTTAGAGACAAGTAATTACAAAAATAATTAGATTACTTAATATTATAATTATAAATAATATAATATAATAAGTAAACAAATACATACTATCAGTTATGGATTTTCTGTGTTATTTAGTGATAAGTAATTGCTAAAAAAATAAAGAAACTCCATAACTGATAGTATGTAGTAATTGTCACTAAATGCACAGAAAAACTAAAATTTCTTTGTAATTACTTTTCACTAAATATGCAAAGAAAAATAAGTGATAGTATATATTTGTTTATAATATTTATAATTCTAATATTAATGATCTAATTTGTTGTAATTGTCACTAAATACGCAAAGAAAAACAGTAACTTGTATTTTTTTATTTATAATAATAATAATAAATGATTAGTATGTATTTTGATATTATATTTAGCCAACGCCACTGAATGTGATGCACTTTTAGTTTGAGTTCTAATATTCAGTGTTTATTCACTTGGACACTGTAAACAAATTATGCATTCCGATGCATTTTCACATAAAGCACTGAGCGTGCATTATTTAATGTGTGTGTTTTTGTGTCCAGCAGCGGCGTCTGCCAGAGCTCCATCAGAATAAGGAGACGGTCGGCGAGCTGTGGCTCGGCCTGCTGCGCTTCTACACAGAGGAGTTTGATTTTAAAGAGTGCGTCATCTCCATCCGCCAGCGCAAACGCCTCACCACCTTTGAGAAACAGTGGACGTCCAAATGCATCGCAATCGAAGGTTTGAAACGCTCATTATCGGCATACAGCAACTTTGCTGTCGCTCTGCTCTGAAATACACAAACATTAGAATTACTCATTTTATTCTGTTTATTCATTTGTTTAATTAATTCAACCTCTCTAGATCTGCCTTTCTCAAGTTTTTTTTTTTTTTAATTAAAGACCATTTTCATAAGCCCAAAATGGATACATAATTAATTCTAATATCATAAAAAGCATTGATTTTAGAATTATATTTTTTATGTATTTTATTAATGTTGTACTTTCATTTTATTCATTTTGTACTATTTTCATTTTGTACATTGTGTATTCATTTCTTTTTTTATAATAGTATTTTATAGTTATCCCATCCTTTTTTTCCCCAAGTAGATTTACAATATTTAATGCACTAAAATACAGTAAACATTTCAGTTTTTAATTTATATATTTTTATTATTTATTAATTCATTTGTAATTAATTAAATATATTAATATATACTCACTCCTGTTTATATTATTTATTTATAATTATTAATAGGAAATCTATTTAAGTAGTTAATTTTCACTAAATACACAAAGTAATAATTTATAGTTTATATTTTTGTTTTTATTTATTTTATTTTATTCATTTAATTTTTTATATTTTATCATTAAGTGTATGTTAATTTTAGGTATTCCATTGTTTCCAAGTACATTTTAAAATGTTTAATGCACTAAAATACAGTAAATATTTATATTTTTGTTATATTACTTGTAATTATTTGATTTTATTTGATTAAATATACAATAATGTATATTTATTTTTATTTATAATTATATTAAAAAGTAATCTAATTATTCTTAATAATTGTTTCACTAAATGCACAAAGACAAATGGTGTATATTTAATAATAATAATAATAATAATTATTATTATTATTATTATTATAAAAAAAAATATCGGGTTTTTTAGTATTGTATGTTTAGCCAATGTTGAGGTAATGTCACTGAATGTGGCAGTTACAGTTTGACTTCTAATATTTTGCAATATTTCATTTCAACAAGACGAACAAGATTGTGTTGCGTGACCCATAGCAATGTTAAATGTTATATGCTGTGTTTTTACATGACTGCTTATTTTTAACAGATCCCTTTGACTTGAATCACAATCTTGGGGCCGGTGTTTCTCGCAAAAGTAAGCAAAACTATCCCATTCTGCATATGTTTGTGTTTTTCTGCTCTAAACAGCAGTTCTAGTAAACGTATGGTGGATTATGTCTCACTCGTTCTCTCTGCCTTTTTTTACACAGTGACTAACTTCATCATGAAGGCCTTCATCAACGGCAGGAAGCTGTTTGGCACCCCGTTTTACCCTCAGCTGGGAACAGAGGCCGTGAGTCACATTGAAACTGCTCCTGAGCGCCATCAACCTTCATTTCATACCTCGTTTCATCTTCGTGTCTCTGTCTCTCTGTCAGGATTACTTCTTTGACTCGAAGGTGCTGACGGACGGAGAACTGGCTCCTAATGACCGCTGCTGTCGGATCTGCGGGAAGATCGGCCACTATATGAAGGACTGCCCAAAGAGGCGCAGGTGCTGTTCACACACGCAGAAGCGATTACCTTTTACAGCGAAGTGCTTAGCTGATCTAGTCTGTTTTCAGAATGAAGAGAAAGGAGAACGAGCGTGAGGAGGAGGTCAGGGAGGAGGACAGGGAACCCAGAGAGAGACGCTGCTTTCAGTGTGGTGATATGGGTCACGTGAGGAGAGACTGTCCCGATTACAAACACCTCCGTCAGAGAGCAGCGCCAGGACCAGGTACAGCTCAAAACTTAATTCATTTGTTTCTTCTGTCTGCTGATTTGTTCATTAATGCAGCCTCTCTAGAGCTGAATTTCTCAGACCATACAGTTTATGAATATATTTAATAAATAAATCTAATAAGCATTATCTATCTATCTATCTATCTGTGTGAGTGTGTGAGTATAGATATATAATTCTATTTAAAAAAATTCATTTTATACATTTTTTATTTTATAGATATTTTATCTGTTGTTTCCAAGTAGATTTAACATGTGTAATGCATTCAAATACGTTAAAGAATATAATATATGTATGTATATACACACACACACACACACACACACACACACACACACACACATAATATATGCATACAGATAAATAGCTAGATAGCTAAATAGATATTATATTAATTATATTTAAAAAAAATGTTTTATACATTTTTAAATAATTATTCCATCTATTGTTTCTAAGTACATTTAGCATGTGTAATGCATTAAAAAACAGTAAAAATACAGTTCATGTATTATTATTATTATATAATGTATATAATTATTTATTTGTAATTAAGTAATTATTTTTAGTAGTTAATTTTCACTATTAATAATTAACTACTATTCACAACTTCATTTTTATAAGATAGTTCATGAATATTTCATATATAAATGCAAAAATAAATATAATAACTATTAATAATGCATAAATAAAAATGTACAAAAATTGACAGATGGATAAATATGAATTAATCCACATTATTTTTAACATAAGCAATGGACCATTTTCAACTTCAGTGTGCATGGCTTCTGGTTTCATCTGCTTGCAGCTATTTTAGCTGAACAAAATAGCTTATGTTGCTTGATACTGTGGAACTGGTTTGTTATCATATTATTTTAATGTATTATAATCATAAAAAGACTGGTTTGTAGGGCAAATAGTGTTACTTTTTACTGCACTTTACTGTTTACTGTTTTTCTTAACTAGTGGCTAATGAATTGGAAGTCTCACACATTCACAGAAATCAGCTTAGCTCTTTGTCACAAAATGTGGATGGTTATTGCAAAATAATTTTATAGTCAGTAGTTTAATATTGTTTCGTCATTGCTGATTTTATTATGCACTTGATTTTATGTATTTTTTCCTTTACAAACAATAGTCTTGACGCGTCTGTGTCCAGTAGGGGGCAGCATATACAAGCATTTGACTATGATCGCTCTCTATTTTTTTCCAGTCCCTCACATGGTCCGGGCCATGGCGAGCTCTCAGTCCATCCCCATTCCTCAAGGTGCTTCAGTCCAGGATCGGGCCGGACGGACCAGGCAGCCCTCTGAATGTGTAAGAACCAGAACCCTCTACTGTCAGCTGTGGCTGGGTGATAAGAGGTCCACCACGTCTTTGAGAAGTAGTTGATGTTTCTTAGTATTTTATTGTATGCTTTGAATTTAATTTCATTTGCCAGTCAAATTAAATTTCAACCAAATAGTTTGGACTAAACAATACTGGTCACAAAAGTACAGTAAAAATTGTAAAACTGTTTGTATTTTCTGTACCGGAAGCTCCTAACACCAAGACAAAGTCCTTGTGTGTGTGTGAACACACTTGGCAATAAAGCTCTTTTTGATTCTGATTCTGATTCTGAAAATCTGGTTTAATTTTGAAAAATGTATATTTGATCTATGTATTATTTATTTCTAGTTAAAATTAATCTTCAACCATTTTCAACAAACAAAAATGTTTTTATTTAATTTATATGATATGTATTTAGATTTGTTGTATTATTTATTTTGTAATTATATTAATAATTATCTAATTATTTTAGTTTACTTTTCAGTAAATATACAAATGATGACTGTTAGTATGTATTTATAATATTATTTAGAAATTATATAGTGTGTATAATAAAGTAAATATTATTTTATATTAATTTATTAATTATAAATTAATATTTATAATTATTATATTAATATTTATAATTAAAAAAATAATACATCTGTTTTTTAATTAACCTTTTTCACTAAAAAATGATTTAGCAATTAGATATGTTGTATATATGAATTATATTTCTGTTTGTAATTTTTTTAGAATTTATATTTAACAAAGTATAATTAGTAATTAATTTTCACAAAATAGTCTAAGAAAAATTGAAACTATATACATATAGAATTATGTATTTACTGAATATATAGAATTATATATATAAAATTATGTATATACGCTGATATTTACAGATGTTAGCATGGTATTGGCATGAAAAGTGTATTAAAATTGTGATATTCAAGGTTTTGCTTAATTTTTTGTTTGCCAAAAAATCATTCACCCAGCAGCAGAACATCAATTTTCATATTTTCATTATGGTTTTTAGATGAACTAACGCTTTTTCTGTCTGTTTCCTTTCAGTCTGATACGCGTCAGACTCCTCCGTACTCCCCTCAGCCGTCTCCCTACAGCCAGGCGTCCATCTCTCCGCAGAACAGCAAGCCTTCCTCTGCATCCTCTACCTCCAAACCCTCCCAACCGCAGCCGCAGATTCCCCAGGTCCAGCTCCCCATCTTCAGCTTCCCCCACTCCCACCCAGGCCAGTATCACACCGGGCTCTCGGCGCTGGGCCTCCTGCCTGCCCACCCCCAGCAGCCGCCCCTCACCTCGGCCTCCTGGCCCATCCACGGCCCTCTCATCCAGGGCTCCGGGGTCTCCGGCCACCCGTCCTCTCCGGGCCTGAAGTTCGCCGTCAGGGACGGCAGAGGCGGGCCAGCGGTGAGCCCCGCCCCAATGAACCTGAACGACCCCAGCATCATCTTCGCTCAGCCGTCGACGGGACGGGCGGCTGGTGGAGTGGGCGGCGGCCCCGCCAGAGAAAGGGGGCACCCCTGGCACAATCACCATCTCAATCCGGGGCCACTGGTGGGGAACGGCACCGTAAACAAGACAGGTACACACACACGTGGTGCTCACACTCAGTGGTTAGTGTGTCTGTCGCTCGGTTTCAAAACCTAGTGAAATGCTTTCTAAGCAGATTTTCCTTATGGAGATCTAGGCTTTATGCAAATAGTACTCTGATTTCAATTAATTTTGACATTAACATGTTGCTAAGCTGTCAGTAAAAAAAAAAAAAAAAAAAAAAAACGAAGAAA